AGTGTGTCCCAGTACCCGACCAGCCCATCCCAGTGCCCCCACCTACCCCGTACACCCCGCGCTTCTCAGCAAGGGTGCTCAGCGCATCAGAACTCCTCCCAGGAATTCCCAGTCTGTTCCAACTGCCTCCCAGTGCCTCCCAGGAACTCCCAGTACCTTCCCAGTGCACTCCCAGTACCTCCCCAGTAACTGCCAGTACCCACCATGGACCTCCTGGGCACCATTGTTGGACCTGACCTCCTGTGTACCCACCTCCCCTTGCCCAGTTTGCACACAAAGTCCTCCGAGGTCCTCCCAGTACCTTCCCAGTGTCCCCCAGTACCTTCCCAGTGCACTCCCAGTGCCCACCTTGGTCCTCCTGGGCGGCATCGTTGTAGTTGAAATGCCCCCTTGCCCTTGCCCAGGTTGCGGGCCAGGTCCTCCTGCTGCTGCTCGTAGTGGTGCCGCAGGAGCTTCTCCCAGTAGTCGGGGTCGACGTTCTCCTCCTGCTTGATGATCTCCCGCTCGATCTCCTCGATCTGCCGGCACAGGCACCGCCGTCACTGGCCGCCATGGGCACTCGCCGAAATCTCAGCGCCGGCTCCATCATCCCCACCACCACCATCTCCATCATCACATCTCTACCACCCCCATCTCCACCACTTCCATCATCTCCATCCTCATCTCCACCATCCTCACCTCCCCCTCCACCACCTCCATCTTCTCCACCATCCCTATCTCCATCATCTCCATTGTCCCCAACTCCATTGTCTCCACCTGCACCATCCCTGTTGTTCCCACCACCTCCGTTGTCCCCATCTCCATCACTCCTATCTCCATTGTCCCCACCTCTACCATCCCTGTTGTCTCCATCTCCATTATCCCCATCTCTACGATCTCCATTGTCCCCATCTCCACTGTCCCCATGTCCCCCATCCCCATTGTCCCCATCACCTGCATCTCCACCATCCGCGTTGTCCCCATCCCCATTGTCCCCGTTGTCCCCATCTGCGTTGTCCCCATCCCCACTGTCCCCATCGTCATTGTTCCCATTGTCTCCATCTCCACCATCCGCGTTGTCCCCATCCCCATTGTCCCCGTTGTCTCCATCTCCATTGTCCCCATCATCTGCATCTCCACCATCCACGTTGTCTCCATCCCCGTTGTCCCCATCGTCCCTATCTCCATTGTCCCCGTTGTCTCGTCATTGTCCCCATCACCTGCATCTCCACCATCCGTGTTGTCCCTGTCCCCATTGTCCCCATCCCCATTGTCCCCATCACCTGCATCTCCACCACCCACGTTGTCCCCATCTCCGTTGTCTCCATCCCCATTGTCCCCATCACCTGCATCTCCACCATCCGTGTTGTCCCTGTCCCCATTGTCCCCATCCCCATTGTCCCCGTTGTCCCCATCCCCGTTGTCTCCATCTCCATTGTCCCCATCATCTGCATCTCCACCATCCGCGTTGTCCCCATCCCTGTTGTCCCCGTTGTCTCCATCGTCACTGTCCCCATCACCTGCATCTCCACCATCCGCATTGTCCCCATCCCCACTGTCCCCATCATCCCCATCCCCATTGTCCCCATCACCCACGCTGTCCCCTTCCCCATTGTCCCCGTTGTCCCCATCCCCACTGTCCCCATCGCCACCACCTCCATTATCTCCATTCCCATCACCACCACCTCCCTTGTCCCCACCACCTCCCTCGTGTCCCCCCTTCCCCGTCCCCGGGCACACCTTGTCCTCCTCCCGCACGACGTACTGGGCCACCTTGAAGGAGCTGAGGTACTCGTTCATGTTCTGCACGTCGGCGTCGTCGGTGGCGTCCTGGTTGCGGTCGAGCAGCCGGGCGATGGCCTCGTTGTCGTAGTGGATGACGCTGCTGTCCTCCTCCTTGTTCTCCCCTGCGCCGGTGACACGCTGCTGACACGGCCTGACACGCTCCAGCAGGGCCTGGCACAGCTCAACACGGCCTTGGCGTGCTCCAACATGGCCCAACGCAGCCCTGACGTCACCCAGTATGGCCCAGTATGGTCCAGTACAGCCCAACACGGCCTGACATGGCCCGACATGGTCCAATAAGGTCCAACATGACCCAACATGGTCCAACACAGCCTGACGTGGCCCAACACGACCCAACATGGCCTGACACGGCCCAACGTAGCCTGACATGACCTGCTATGGCCCAGTATGGCCCAACACAGTCCAGCATGGCCCAGCACGGCCTCACATGACCCAACATGGTCCAGTAAGGTCCAACATGACCCAACATGGCCCAAAGTGGCCCAACATGGCCCAGTACAGTCCAATAAGGTCCAACATGGCCCAGTATGGTCCAACATGGCCCAGTATGGTCCAACACAGCCTCACATGGTCCGACACAACCTGACATGACCAGCATGGCCCAACATGGTCCAGCACAGCCCAACACGGACCAGTGTGGTGGTCCAACACGGTCCAAGGTGGCCCAGTATGACCCAATACAGCCTGAAACGGCTCAACAGGGTCCAACATGCCCCACCACAGCTTGGCATGGCCCAGCATGGCCTGGCACAACCCAACACAGCCTGACATGGTCTGGCATACCCTGACATGGCCCACCATGGTCTCCCACGTCCCACCACAACCTCCCACGGCACAACATGGCCCACCACGGCCTCCCATGTCCTACCACATCCCACCGTAGCCTCCCACGTCCCACCACGGCCTCCCACGGCCTCCCTAAAGTCCGGCACACCCTGACCCACCCATCCCCAACCCCACCGGGCGCTGACCCTCGTTCTCGTCCTTGAAGAGCTCCTCGGTGCCGAATTTGAGGATATCATCGAGCTCCTGCTTGGACATGGAGCCGGCCTTGGAGCCCAGCCCTGGGCGCACCACCA